CTGCTTAGTACGAGATTCCCAGGACGTCTCCGTTCCAAGTACTAAGGAAGCCCAGCGTTGCTTAACTTGCCAGATCGGACGGGATGGCGTGCTTTCAACGCGGTATGGTCGTAATCACTGTGTTTTCAATTTCTCAATATTTAAGAAAAAATTCTCTAAGGCAAAGTGGGCGGGGCTATTTGTTGTTCGCTGTTCGCGGGAATGGTTTAAGGCAAAAAGAAAATGGGCAATTATAAAAATGTGTGGGAGGAAAATTAGGATTAAAAAAATTTTTTTGAAGAATTAAATTTTTTAAAAAAAATAAAGCTTATAATAATAAACTTTAATCTTTTTTTAAATTTAAAGTTTATTATTATAAGCTTTATTTTTTTAAAAAATTTACTGTTATTATTATATTAAGCTTTATTATCAGTTTATTTTAAAGCAGCTTTATTCTAAATCTGATAATAATCATAAGCTTTATAATCCTAATTTTTCTCCAGCTGCAATATTTATTTGGCTCCAGACAATTGTCAGGAATTGCCATTGATAACTTTTGTGAAAGTGCCGCTGATAAATTGTAAATAATTTAGATATCTTTTGCAAAGGAAATTAAATATATAATAAGCTGTCATTAATTTTTAATTTCAGATTATTTTCGAGATTTTATTCCAAAATTATCAATATAATCAATATTAATGACAGCTTAATTACCCGCAGACTGGGTAATTCCAGCTCTGCTAACTACCTAAATAAAAGATATCTGGTTGATCCTGCCTGAACTGATGTGTTCATTTCAAAGATTAAGCCATGCATGTATAAGTTTAATCGTTTTAACGAGAAACCGCGAACGGCTCATTACAATGGCCATGATTTACTTGATCTTGATTATCTAAATGGATAACTGTGGAAAAGCTAGAGCTAATACATGCACCAAAGCTTTGTCCTCACGGAAAAGCGCATTTATTAGAACAAAACCACGCGGCTTCGGCTGCTTCTTGTTGACTCAGAATAACTAAGCTGACCGCATGGCCTTGTGCCGGCGGCGTGTCTTTCAAGCGTCCACTTTATCAACTTGACGGGAGCATAATCGACTCCCGTGGTGGTGACGGATAACGGAGGATCAGGGTTCGACTCCGGAGAAGGGGCCTGAGAAATGGCCACTACGTCTAAGGATGGCAGCAGGCGCGCAAATTACCCACTCTCGGCTCGAGGAGGTAGTGACGAGAAATAACGAGACTGTTCTCTTTGAGGCCGGTCATCGGAATGGGTACAATTTAAACCCTTTAACGAGTATCAAGCAGAGGGCAAGTCTGGTGCCAGCAGCCGCGGTAATTCCAGCTCTGCTAATACATAGAATTATTGCTGCGGTTAAAAAGCTCGTAGTTGGATTCGTATCGGTACCTTGGAACCCTTCGGGTGTTTCTGGGTGTTATCGATTTATCGTAATGTTCGGTTTTGAGTCCTTAACAGGATTCTTAACAGTCATTGCAAGTTTACTTTGAACAAATCAGAGTGCTTCAAACAGGCGTTTTCGCTTGAATGATCGTGCATGGAATAATAGAAAACGATTTCGGTTCAGTTTTATTGGTTTTACGGACTGAGATAATGGTTAACAGAGACAAACGGGGGCATTTGTATGGCCCCGTGAGAGGTGAAATTCTTGGACCGTGGCCAGACAAACTACAGCGAAAGCATTTGCCAAGAATGTCTTCATTAATCAAGAACGAAAGTCAGAGGTTCGAAGGCGATCAGATACCGCCCTAGTTCTGACCGTAAACGATGCCAACTAGCGATCCGCTGATGGAAATTATATTGCCTTGGTGGGGAGCTTCCCGGAAACGAAAGTCTTCCGGTTCCGGGGGAAGTATGGTTGCAAAGCTGAAACTTAAAGGAATTGACGGAAGGGCACCACCGGGAGTGGAGCCTGCGGCTTAATTTGACTCAACACGGGGAAACTCACCCGGCCCGGACACTGTGAGGATTGACAGATTGATAGCTTTTTCATGATTCAGTGGATGGTGGTGCATGGCCGTTCTTAGTTCGTGGAGTGATTTGTCTGGTTTATTCCGATAACGAGCGAGACTCTAACCTACTAAATAGTTAATCGGATCGTCACAGACTCATAAACCAAAAATGCCTGGTGAAATTTGATTGCCTGGGGGAACCCTATTGCCTGAACCCTACGACACTTGGTCAATTGCACTTTGGTCTACTTTGCCTGAGGCAATTAATCGGATCGTCACAGACTCATAAACCAAAAACCCTATTGCCTGAACCCTACGACACTTGGTCAATTGCACTTTGGTCTACTTTGCCTGAGGCAATTTTTAATCGGATCGTCACAGACTCATAAACCAAAAATGCCTGGTGAAATTTGATTGCCTGGGGGAACCCTATTGCCTGAACCCTACGACACTTGGTCAATTGCACTTTGGTCTACTTTGCCTGAGGCAATTTTTAATCGGATCGTCACAGACTCATAAATCAAAAATGCCTGGTGAAATTTGATTGCCTGGGGGAACCCTATTGCCTGAACCCTACGACACTTGGTCAATTGCACTTTGGTCTACTTTGCCTGAGGCAATTTTTAATCGGATCGTCACAGACTCATAAACCAAAAATGCCTGGTGAAATTTGATTGCCTGGGGGAACCCTATTGCCTGAACCCTACGACACTTGGTCAATTGCACTTTGGTCTACTTTGCCTGAGGCAATTTTTAATCGGATCGTCACAGACTCATAAACCAAAAATGCCTGGTGAAATTTGATTGCCTGGGTCTACTTTTGACAATGCACTCTGGCCTACGGCACTTGGATAAACATTTCTATAGTATATAAAAAAGACAAATCATCCGATCAAGGGCTAAGTCTCAGCAGATCGCAGCGAAGAGCTGCTCTACTGTTTACAACCCCCTGACCAGTATTCAAGTCGTATACAAGTGATTTTGCGCCCCGACGTTACACCTGCACGTGGAGTGCTAAGCTTTTAGCAACCAACTACCAATTATAGTAGAAAGAAAATGCCAGATACTGGGGCTTGTACTACCACAAAAAGTGGCATACATTTTGCCTTCCGACACCGGAGAGCGATATATATTGCTATCATGACTGGGCGGGATTCTGACTTAGAGGCGTTCAGTCATAATCCCTCAGATGGTAGCTTCGCGCCATTGGCCTATCGACCAAGCACATGAACCAAATGTCTGAACCTGCGGTTCCTCTCGTACTAAGCAGGATTACCATCATAGCAACAAGTATTTAGTAGGGTAAAACTAACCTGTCTCACGACGGTCTAAACCCAGCTCACGTTCCCTATTGGTGGGTGAACAATCCAACGCTTGGCGAATTCTGCTTCGCAATGATAGGAAGAGCCGACATCGAAGGATCAAAAAGCGACGTCGCTATGGACGCTTGGCCGCCACAAGCCAGTTATCCCTGTGGTAACTTTTCTGACACCTCTTGCTGTAAACTTTACAAACTCAAAAGGATCGATAAGCCACGCTTTCGCGGTCTGTATTCGTACTGAAAATCAAGATCAAGTAAGCATTTGCCTTTTTGCTCAACGAGAGGTTTCCGTCCTCTCTGAGCTCGCCTTAGGACACCTGCGTTACAATTTGACAGATGTACCGCCCCAGTCAAACTCCCCGCCTGACAATGTCATCGGCGCGAGTCAACCAACCACCGAGTGGCTAGTCTTAAAACAAAAATGAAGGTCCGTAGACACAACTCCCGTTTTACCGATTAAGTAAGGAATCGATGAAAGTAGTGGTATTTCACTGTTGTCTTACGACTCCCACTTATGCTACACCTCTCATGATTCTTCACAAAGTCAGACTAGAGCCAAGCTCAACAGGGTCTTCTTTCCCCGCTAAATTTGCCAAGCCCGTTCCCTTGGCTGTGGTTTCGCTAGATAGTAGATAGGGACAGTGGGAATCTCGTTGATCCATTCGTGCGCGTCGGAGTTTTGTTATGAAATACCCGTCGCCAGGTATTCCACCCGGACGCTTGGGACTGTTTCAAAGAGTTAGGACGATTAACCCTCATTTCCACAGTTCCCAGCCAGTCGATGGAATTGCTTCCATTAAAACCAGCTTCGTGTTTCCCGAATAACACTTCGTCCGTTGCATTCAGAATGCTCACGGGCGATCAACGCCAATGAGTCGAAAATCTTATTAGTCATGAACGTGTTTGCACGGTTAGGCGTTCACATTTCAGCGAGACAACGACAAGTGTGCTCGAATTAGCCTGTCTGAGCCATGAATGGCCCCAAGCTGCATCTTATCGAGGAGTTCAAGGGCGGACTTTCCCTTTATGTTCAACTCCCCTAGCCGCTCAACGATATTTGGTAATACTTCACCACAAGTTCCAATCACAATTGGGGTTACTGATACTCCAGCTTTAAATTCCTTTCCGTATAGTTCCCCCAACAGTGCTCTAATATTGTATCCGTGTGTTCTAGTGATCGGGTCAGCTAGAACTGTCACGTCTTCAATCTCAGAATTCGTGGCATACTTGTGGTACTTGATTTGATCCTGTTTTACCAGGTTTTCATACCAAGCCACGCATACCTCTACGACATGGATTTTCCCCGTGGTTTTATCAAATATAACCAAATCCGGTCTATCGTGACGTAGACCTTCGTATCTCATCGTCTTATCAACCCCTTGTAGGGTTGCTCTCACATTCCGTGTGAACAGGTGCACATCATAATATATCTTTGCTGAGTCGTTTTCCATAACCGCAGGGACTGGCTGGTTATGCGCTAATTGCTGCAAGCCGAATCTTCGGCTGAACGTTGCATGCAACCGATTCACCACATTATTGTGGCGTTCCAGCATGAGCCCAGTCCTATAGACCGGGCATCCTGAGAGAATATGCTGCACACTTTCGCGCGCTGCATGACATCTCCTGCACTTAACATCTGCTTCAGTTTGTCCCTTTCGGAACAATTCAGCTGCATTTAGCGCACCTTCCTGTACCGCTATGCAATTTCGAAAAACGAGTCTCCCAACTTTGGC